TATTATTTCCCCCTCACATAACAAGATGTCTTTGTTTAGGCTGAGGACACATGGTAGGCTATGTAATGACCTGCAGTGACCACTGGGGGTCGCTCCATCCCCATGAATGAGTGACCTTCTCGGGCTGTAGCTCCACAGATGGCCGGTAGGTGGCGGTGCAGCCCGGCGCTGTGAGCTGAGGGAAGGTGAGCTGGGTCAGACGGTACTGCTGCTGCTGCTGCTGCTGCCTGAGGCCGTGCTGAAGCTTTGAACTTGACCGTGAACGCAACACGGCAACATTGGAACCCGCGCCGAAAACGGTCCTAATTAATTTAAAATCCAATATATTTGAATGATATCAGTATTCAAATATATTGGGTGTTTGAGACTAGATTTAGATCTATGGTGTTTTTTATTTTTAGAAAGAAAGAAAAGAAATACATATTTTATTTATTTGTGGGTATTTTACTGCGTGTTTGAGGCTGTTTAAATGAGGTGAAATATTTGGTTTTCTTGTTGAACCGGACAGAGAGCTCAGAGTCTTTGTGTACAGATTTCTGGGAACGTGGGAGAAAAAAAGCACCAGAAGAAAAGAGCTATAGGGAAGATAGAGGACTAATTAGAGAGTGAAGGAGGGAGGGATGGACGGAGGCTGTCAGAGGATGTGGTTGCTATAGATACTTGGCATGATGCCAGGTGGAGGCAGCCCCAATTTGCATTTATTCAGATGGCTGCTCTCTCCCTCTCTCTCTCCCTCTCTCTCTCTCTCCTTTCTTTCTTTCTTTCTTTCTTTCTATAAAAAGAAGCAAAAAACACTAATTTCCTGCCATTTCAAATGTATTCTTAATAACTCAATTTTCTTTTTCATTTTAATGCAAAACCCAGGGAACACTGAATTAAATATATATAAATATATATATAAGTTGATGAAAAATACATGTGCCATTCTGATTGTGCCACAAGATAAAATTTTGTTTGTTCTTTCTTCTTATTTTTTGCTATGTTAGATTGTGTTTGATTTTGAAGTTGAACGCTGTAAAAACACATTGATGCTTCTATTTAAACAATACCTACAATTTCTCTCTTTTTTTAAAATTAAAAGACAAAGACAAAAATCTGCACTGTACTCTAGGCCTGCGGATAACGTCATGTAGGCCTGAATTCGTTCCTCAAGTTAAGCTTCGAAAAGAAAATGCTGCCTTTGTTTTAGATTTTTTAAAATAATAATGAAAAAATAACTAAAATAATAACAGAGCAGGGTTTTTACTGCAGTTTCCATTTTAAAATAGTCTATTCAATATTAAAACTGTAAGGCAGACATTTTCTATTAATTAGCCTTCATTTAAGAGTCTGGCCTGTACTGTAGCTTAGTCAGCTTCTGTTGGGCCTGTGCACTAATAGATAATTGTTTCTTTATTTTTATGAATTAAAAGGAAAACACATAAAAATCTCTGAGTCACTTAAAGTCCTGTTAAAGCAGCAAAATCTGAAGAAAAAAGTCTATATGTTATACAAACCTCAGTGGTTTATTTTTACGTAATTAAAAAATATAAGTCCCCCTTTTACAATTTCCTCCTCTGACACTACCAGACTGATATTAATTCAAATGAAGCAACTCGTGTAAATGTCTAAAAACAGGATAAAACATGTGTCCTGCTTTAATTATATACATGTCTGAGCATTGCGTCAAAGTTAAGAGCTTTTACTGAAAATATAATGAGTATAAAAACAGAATAAATTCACTGGAGGCAAATGTAAAGTCACTGTTCTCTTTATTGACCACATATATATTTACACAATGTACACACACAAAGTTTTACAGCATCAAATGACACCTCAGGGTATTTATCAACCTACTCAGCCTTTACATCAAGACTCAATATGGTGGGATAGCTCTGACTTTTAATATAATAAAAACAAAAAAAGAAAAACCATGACACCAATTTGTTTATACAAGACAGCCCAACAGGATCAATTACAGTCAACCTGGGTGTATTTATTTGGAGTCACATATCAGTTTGCATCAATTAGCATCATTATTTATTTATTTAAAAAAAATAAATAAAATCACTTAAATTCTTGATATATTTAATACATTAATAATTAACTCACAAAACACACAAGCTGTTTTACAGTGAAAATTTGAAAACACATCTTTAAAAAAAATCTCAGTCTGTCTTTATCATTGTCTTTTCTTTGGATTTGAAGATGATCACCTTTACATGTGTTTGCGAAACGTCAGAAGCAAAATAGGAACTGTCCTTTACAAAAAAATGACTGAATGAAAATAAAAAAAATAACAA